CTGAAGGCAGGACAAGAAGCAATGGATGGAAACTGAGTTATATAAACAGAGGCATAGAATCAAGATCAATGTGAAGTATTAGTACCGCTTTATAAAACCCTAGTAAGCCCACACCTGGAATACTGCAGCCAATTTTGGTTGCCATATCACAAAAAAGATGTTGACAGTTTGGAAAAAATTCAGAGAAGAGCAACTAAGATGATTAAAGGCCTGGAGACTAAAACATACGAAGAACGCCTGCAGGACTTGGGTTTGGCTAGTCTAAAGAAAAGAAGAAATAGGGGAGACATGATAGCAGTGTTCCAGTATTTGAGAGGCTGCCACCAAGAAGAGGGGATCACGTTAGTCACCAAAGCACCAGAGGTAAGGACGAGAAACCATGGTTGGAAACTGATCAAAGAGAGAAGCAACCTGGAATTAAGGAGAAACTTCACACTTTTACACTAAAAATTAAAAAAAGATTTTCAATTCACCAACAATTTTTTAAAATAAAGAAATTATTTACCTTTTGCACTTAGTCAATCACTGTACACCCACCCACACATGTCAGTTGTGTAATGAAACATAATGGTCGCCACATGCAGTAAGCACTCAGCATGCGACCATATGACCAATCACAAGCCAAGCAGTGCCACAAACCGAGCAGCGCCTTCACAACCAGCACGGACGAAGTACGCATGCATCAGACTCGACACACAAGCAGCCTGTATGTACCATTTTAATGATTTTGCCGCCGACCTGCTACGCTCGACAGGGTGATTCTTTATTGTTGCTCGCATATTATATCTTGGGGAGAAAACATGTGTGCATACTGAATCCATCAGAAGGCTAGAGCAACAGGTGCTCTCTTGAATCCTGACCCCAAATATGAAAAGATCTTTGAAGCCAAGAGATGGATGCCAGTTTAAAGCTTAACACTCTTTGTAAATTCATGAAAGGCATGAGATTTATATTGAGTGCTTTCAGGCTGTCACTCATAGCAACAATGCAACAACTCCACACCAGCTTTCCTGAGTTCATCTATCATAAAAACAAAAACAAAAACAAACCACCGTGCTGAACTGAGTTATTTTGTCTTCAGTTATAGATTGCCAACTCTTTATTCCAGAGAAGATGTAAGCAAATATTTCAAGTAGGAGAGCTTGAACTTCAGGGAGAAGGAGATATTCAATACAAGCAAGACTTCATCCCTTTGTAATGAAAGGACAATTTAATAATACCTATCATCCCTAATTGCAAAAATAATATCAGCGGCTTGAAAATAGAGTTCCTCCACTTTCTGGAAAGTGGATAAAAGAAAGTCTTAACAATATGGTTTTTGTTTTTGGGTACAGAACTGTGATGGCAGGGATATTTCCAATCAGTAAGTCATTCAACATGTCGGTCCCAGGGGGCACTATCTGTTATAGAGCAGGGCTTTTCAACCTTTTCACCCATTGTACCACTTTTAGGATATGGCAGTATCCGAGTACCACCAGTCGCCTAGCAAGGTGTCAAAAACTTGATGACCCCCCAAAAGGAAAAAAGTGATAAAGTACAGGTAGTCCTCGACTTACAACAGTTCACTTAGTGACTGTTCGAAGTTACAATGGCATAGAAAAAAATGCCCCCCAAGCCACAGCCAAGCAAGACACCTGCCTGCCTGCCCGGCCGCACTCTTCCTCCTGTCTGAGGTTTTCATTGTTGTGAGCATTTCTGTTGAGGATTGGCAGTGGGGGTGGGGAGGGGGTTTTTTGGTTTTTATGCCCCCCATCTGCTGGGTGGTTGCAGCAGGTTTTGGTCACTTCACATGACCCCGGGACACTGTGACCGTCATAAATATGAATCAGTTGCCAAGCATCTGAATGTAAATCACAAGACCCTGGAGATGCTGCAACATTCCAGCTGATCGGCGCTTCTTCAGGGCTCAGCAGAAGCACCAGGATCAGTGCTGCTTTCCACCTGATCGGCGCTTCTTCGGGGCTCAGCAGAAGCACCAGGATCAGCGCCGAGCTCCAGCTGGAGCCTGGCGCTGATCCTGGCGCTTCCGCTGAGCCCTGACAGCCCTGCAGCTCCAGCCATCTCTCACTCAGGCTTGTGCGGTGCTGCCATCAGTTCAGCTCATTCCTCTCCCCCGCTACCACTTTTCTAGGATGGTTGCGTACCACCTGCCAGGTGCCAATGTACCACAGGTGGTACCCGTACCACTGGTTGAAAAGCCCTGTTATAGAGGACTCCTGTACAGTTCATTCCCTTTTTCTGGTAATGTAGATCATTGCTATGAATAAAGAAAACCAATATCCTTTCAGATTTTAGTCAATTTTTTTAGAGCCTAAATACAAATAATATTGATTCTCTGCTTGTTCCCTGCTGCAAAGGGGGCCATCATTCTTAGTCATTCTTGACATTTCATAAGTTGGACAATGCCAAGTAGTTATCGTGCCAAATTGATGTGCTGTTGCATAGCTACTTTATCAAAGTAGAAATAAATATGACATTGAGATTGCCCAGAATAGCAAACGCATATCTTTCCCCCTCTTTATTCTTTGAAATATTATAAGAGAAACGGATGACATGATAGATATATTTATATATTATAAGCACTAAGCTTATATTTTAAGTACGAAGATGAAGAAGTTGTGCACTCCCTTTTCCCAGACTAGCTAATGAACTGAGACTACACTCCCAGAATTCAACAATCTGAAAGGTACTTACTTTAATAAGGTTGCTCTTACTTTAAGAATTATATAAAAAAGAACAACATTTATCAAAACAATGAGCAAATGCATACTGTATGTCTGTGAGCTTTCTCTCATTGCATGGAGAAAATGGACAAATATCTTACTACTATAGATAGCCTATGTAGGTTTTCATTAATGTTTACACATTAAAAGTAGAGAAATTATTATGTTCTATCCCTAACCTTTCTTCTAATAAATAATGGTAATTAGAGCTTTCAAATTCTTGTTCACCAAATTAACTCTTTCCTGTCTGGATCACAAGAAGGGAAAATTAACATATGCAATTAAATTAAGTTATAATTTCTCTTGTATCATCAATTGTTTTGAACCATACTATGGTGGATAGAGTAGAATAGAGTTGGAAGGGACCTTGGAGGTCTTCTAGTCCAACCTCCTATACCATTTTAGATAACTGGCTGTCCAGTCTCTTCTTAATAACCTCCAGTGATGAAGCAACCACAACTTCTGAAGGCAAGCTGTTCCACTGTTTAATTGTTCTCACTGTTAGGAAGTTTTTCCTTAATTCCAGGCAGCTTCTCTCCTTGATTAGTTTCCATCCATTGTTTCTTGTCTTGCGTGCTGGTGCTTTGTATAATAGGTTGACCCCCTCAACTTCTTCGAGGCAGTCCCTCAAATACTGGAATAGTGCTATAATAATAATAACAACAACAACAACAACAACAACAACAACAACAATAATAATAATAATAATAATAATAATAATAATAATAATAATAATAATGATGATGAAGTTGGAAGGGACCTTGGAGGTCATCTAGTCCAACCCCCTGCTCAGGCAGGAAACCCTATACCATTTCGGACAAATGGCTGTCCAGTTTCTTCTTAAAAACTTCCAGTGTTGGCGCATTCACCGCTTCTGGAGGCAGGTTGTTCCACTGGTTAATTGTTCTAACTGTCAGGAAGTTTCTCCTTAGTTCTAGGTTGCTTCTCTCCTTGGTTAGTTTCCATCCGTTGCTTCTCGTCCTGCCTTCAGGCGCTTTGGAAAATAGCTTGACTCCCTCTTCTTTGTGGCAGCCCCTGAGATATTGGAACACTGCTATCATGTCCCCCCTCGTCCTTCTCTTCATCAAACTAGACATACCCAATTCTAGATTGGAGGCTAAAACATATAAGGAATGGTTGCTGGAATTGGGTATGTCTAGTTTAACGAAGAGAAGGATGAGGGGGGACATCATGTCCCCCCAGTCCTTCTTTTCTCTAGACTATCCAAACCCAAATCCTGCAACCGTTCTTCATATGTTTTAGTCTCCAGGCTTATGCTTTGCAGTCACATTCATCCTCTTGGCAAACTAGTTTGCTAATTATTACCATACCTTTCCATAACCATTGTTTCCAGCTTAACCACCTATAGATGGATGCAAATTTCAGAAAATCCCATTCCTTCATTCTATGATAAAAAGATAAGGTGTTGTCTTTGGAGATGCACCCAAACATTGGCCAGTCATTTTCAAATTTGTCTATATTTAGAAGGACTATAAATTTGTTGTTGTACCCCTAGAGCAAAATTTTCTAAAACTGAGTGGTTGCTGCTCCTGATTTCATATTTTATTCTCTGTTTATCTTTCCATTTTGGGATCAGTAAATCCCCAGATGTATACTGAACATACTGAAAATTCATTCGCCCTCACTATTTTACACTGATGCCAGGATTTAGAACTCAAACTAATAGTGTTTATGAGTCAGGTCTGCAGGAAGGGAACAAAATACATGAGTAAGCTATCACATGGTTCCTTACCCCATTGGAATAATCACTTGGAGTCATTATGGACTACAAATATAATTTCTACTTAATTATGGTTTAATAGGAACCTGTCTAAATCTCAGTACCAGATAAAACATATAAGAGTTTAAAAATAAATCTATAGCGAACCCCAATGGTGCTTTTTCAAAAGGCAACTAGCCTTGTCTTGTTTTTACTTGAAGACGTTTCGCTTCTCATCCAAGAAAATTCTTCCGTTCTGACTGAAGAAACTGCTTGGATGAGAAGCAAAATATCTTCAAGAAAAACAAAGTCCATTTGCCTTTTGAAAAAGCACCTTTGAGATAACCGTGACCTGCATGGCTGAGAATCACCATAGACATCTATAGCACATCCTTTCTGTGCATGATGTAGAAAGTTTTTCTAATGTTAGTGAATTTGCTTCCTTGCGCTATTTTTTTTTAAAGTCTGTTCTGCAAAATACTTCAGAGAGAACAAAGGGACTGTTAACATTGTTCACTTTATGATATAAATCCATATGTTTTCCCCTCTGTCTACAGGCTGTTATTGCAGGTGTTCTTATTACTCTGGCTGAGAAACAATGGACTTCAAGATGCCTGGTAAATTTATGTGGTTATTCCATGTGATGTCACATTCTAGACAGAATTAAACTAGCATAGATACAAACTGGAAACCAATGAGGTTTTTTTCTACCTTAGGATATAAAATAAAAATAATGTAAGGTTTTTAAGTACTGTATACACAATTTAAACTTGCCCCAATTTACAAAACTGGGCGAGAGCTAGAGATATTTATTTCCTGACTTGAAATAACCAATAAAAGCCACATCAAACAAATCCATTCATTTTAAACAAAATAAATGTTTTGATGCTTTTTTGATGCATAGGAAATGAATAAATGAGATATGCATTTGGGGAATATCAAGTAAACATGAAAGTTCATTCTTATAAGTTCCTTAGAATATGGGCATCTCTTTGTATCCCCAAAGACATTTAGGGTTTTAAAAATTTTATTTTGAAGAATATATGTTTGTGTGTGATGTGCATAGTTTCAATCACATTATCGCCACCACATTATCGCCACCAGGGTTCATTGAAACCCTGGGGACATTCCTGTTCCTCTGAAGAGTAGTGCAAAGGAAAATGTTTTATATGAATGGACAGTAATAATACTGGTGGTAAAAAGGACTTGGAATGGAGATTTTTGGGACCCATCCTCCAAAACCTTCAGCCAGCATAACAGGAAATCCATGTCAGACTTGTGAAAATGTTCATGGCTTGATTGTCTGATTCCTGACATACATGAACATTACATAGAAAATAGTTCAATACCACATTATTTTGTGAAGACATGAAAAGTGAAACCAAAAGTTAATTTAGTTTTGAATGTCATAGCCCAGTGATGGCGAACCTTTTAGAGACCGAGTGCCCAAAAACTGCCCCCACCCCTGCTCCACCCCCTGCCCTGCTCTGCCCCTACCCCGCCTCCACCCCACCTTCCCGCAGGGCCACTCACTGCTTCCAGGGCCCGCGGCAGATCACCCAGGCAGCCCAGCAGCGCCATGGCAGCCACGTCCTCTCCCCGCGCACTGCATCATCAACTATGCATGATGGGGTGTGAGGGCAGAGTCTTGTTTATGCTGCCTGGCTGCCATGTCCTTGGCTGCACTGCTCCGCGTGGGCCACACTTGGGGGCAACTCTCCTCCAGTGGGGTTGCTGGTGAGGGGGTCACGGGGGGAGGCAAGGCTGGGGCAACAGCACGTGTGCCCACAGAGAGGGCTCCAAGTGCAGCCTCTGGCACCAGTGCCATAGGTTCGCCACCACTGTCATAGTCTGTGTTTGTCCAAATTTACACAATAGCAGATCTTGCTTCTTGGCAATAGGTGTTTAAAATTGCAATTTACCTTTCCAAGTTCAGTGTGCTTCTTTTGATTTTTGGTAGTATTTGTGATTCCAAAGGCATCAAAGAAAAAAACAATGTCAAAAAATAGATGAGAACATCACTAGCTGTTAACAGGCAAAAAGATTGCTTAGGAATCACTAGAAAGAAACACGACTATTTTGTGTATTATGTGATGGCCAAATGTGACCACAGACTTTTGTTTCCATTGCAGTGGGAGGCTGCTTTTGCCTTTAGCATCTTCAATGTCATCAGCTCTCCTGTTCAAAGCGCTATCGCAATGGCATCTCTCCTTCTGGGCCCCTATTGTTATTATTCTTTTGCTGGGGTTTCAGGCACGAACTACCTCAGTTATGCCATTTCATCATTTTTTCCTTACGGCAAATTTGCTTCTTCATGCAAAGATCCATTGCATTATGAGTGGTATCACCTGGTGCTGCAAATTCTAGACTTCATCTCTGGCCTTGTCATTCTAAGTGCATCTTTGACCACTGTGGTCAAGCTCACAACAAGACTCTTCCAATTTGGACATTTAAATGTGAGTATTAATCCAGAGCTGGGGTAGTTATTGCCAAGCGCATTAAGATCTGTTCATATAGTGAGGGCTTTCGCACCGATCCCATGGATCAATTAAAATCTATCCCATTTTAACATATCTTTTTGAAAGATAGCTTTTTGTCCTTTTTCGCATGGCTTTGTTTTAGAATATCTAGAAGATGAGAAGATGAGGAAATTGAGTTGAATTTGTTTACTTAATTGCTCAAAATGGCCTTACATTTCTTCCTTTTATATTTGTTATGTTGAAGTGTTAGTACCACTTTATAATGCCCTGGTAAGACCACACTTGGACTATTACATCCATAAAAAAGATGTTGAGACTCTAGAAAGAGTGCAGAGAAGAACAACAAAGATGATCAGGGGACTGGAGGCTAAAACATATAAAGAACAGTTGCTGGAATTGGTTTTGTCTAGTTTAATTTAAAAAAAGGACTAGAGGGTGACAT